TTATATCAAGATGCAAACTTATAGAAATGAAAATAATTAAAGAAAAATCCTAGTAAAAAATTGTATAAGTATTTAAAGCCAAAATAAATATGAAAACAACAAAGTAAAAGTATAAATTCCAGTTTAGAAAATGTATGATAAGAAAACGGAATACCCTTAAAATATAAAGATGTTACTGCGTTTTCGAGCCAAATGGGACAAGCACGAAACATTGCATTTAACATTATCCTTAATACATTTAATATTAAGAATTAATCATATTTTGTGCGATAAACTACTTAATAAAAGCACCAAGCACAATGTTACTTGCCTAATGGCGACGTAATATCACGAGAAAACACTGGTCTCAGCTGATCAGTAGAATGTAATACCGGTAGTATGCATTAGGTTATGTACAACACTACGAATTACTGTTAACACATGAATGTGTATACTTTAGACTATAGCTTAACTAACCGGTGTTTTGTACTTATTTAGTAATAACATATAAAGTCACATTTTTTATTATTATCCTATGTAAATATTTTTCAAAATTATTTATTATGTCAGCAAGCAACTCAAAAGGAATTATAACAATAAAGGACGACAAACATCAAGGTTTGATATTACATTAATGATATTACCAATTAAACATTTTTTTAATGAACAAATTTTAGAAGTACATTTATTATTTAACTTAATATATCTGTATGTAGTTGCCTGTAATGTTTAAATTTTATATTTTTAAATTTATTTAGTATTCTTCTGTTAATTTTATTCTTTTTGTAGACATTGAAGAAGATGAAATTACTGCAATTGACTATGAATTGAAACAGATTGAAAGTGAAATACAAAAGCTTGAAGATCGTAAAAAGATCTTAACTCAACGAAAAGAAAAATTACAAGATGATGCACTTTTGAGAAAGAGTTTAGCTGTATCAAAAAAGGATTGGAATAAAGAAGATTTTAGTTGGTCCAAAGATCTGAAAAAAGCTTTAAAGGATGTTTTTAAAATTCAAAAATTAAGAGAATTACAACTGCCAACTATAAATGCAATTATGTGTAATGAAGATGTTATTTTAGTAATGCCTACAGGTGGTGGTAAAAGTTTATGTTATCAATTACCTGCTGTTATTAGCAAAGGTATTACAATAGTAGTATCACCACTAGTGGCATTAATGGAAGATCAATTACATGGGTTACATAAAAATAATGTGAAAGCTATGATGCTAAGTGCAAAATGTAATAAAGAAAATGTAAAAACCATAATGAATGCACTTGTAGATAAGAAATCTGATCTTAAATTAATTTATGTTACACCAGAATATATGGCAAAATCTAATCGTTTTATGAACAAATTACAAAAAGCTTTTGAAATGAAACGTTTAGATCGTTTTGCAATAGATGAAGTTCATTGTTGTAGTCAATGGGGACATGATTTTAGACCTGATTATAAATTTTTAGGAATTTTAAAATCCATGTTTCAAGGTGTACCAGTTTTAGGTTTAACAGCCACTGCTCCAGCTAAAATTATTGTGGATGTCCAAAAGATGTTAGACATTCAAGGTTGTTTAGTTTTGAGAGCTACTTTTAATAGACCAAACCTATTTTATGAGGTTCGGCGTAAACCAGCGGATAAGGATATATGCGTAGCTATGATAGAAAATTTGTTAAAAAATAGATTTAAGGATAAATCTGGAATAATTTATACCACTACCATCAAAGATGCAGAACAGTTGACAACTGATTTGAGAGCATTGGACTTAAAAGTTGGATGTTATCATGCAATGTTAGAGTCAGATTACAGATCAGAAGTATATTCTAAATGGATGTCAGGAAAATATCAAATTGTAGTTGCTACCATTGCTTTTGGATTAGGTATTGACAAACCAGATGTGAGATTTGTTATTCATCACTGTATTTCAAAATCAATGGAAAACTTTTACCAAGAAAGTGGACGTGCTGGTAGAGATGAAAACAAATCAGTATGCATAGTATTATATAGACTGCCAGACATATTCAAATTAAGCACAATGGTGTTTCAAGATAAAGTTGGTTTGCAGAATTTGTACAAAATGTTAGCATATTGTTTAGATCAAACATCATGTAGACGTAGTTTAATTGCAACACACTTTGAAGAAACTTGGACTACAAGTGATTGTTTAAAAATGTGCGATCATTGCCGAAAACCTAAAACGTGTAAACAAGTGAACATAGCCCAATATTGTAGACAATTATTAGAAATTATGACTAAAGCAGTACAAAATGAAACAAGATTGACAGCTTTGAAACTTATAGATGCTTGGTATGGTAAAGGTACACCAACATTACGGGTAGCTTCTGTACCAACACCAAAATTTACAAGAGAGTCAGGGGAAGCTATAGTAGGATATTTACTCATTAATGGTTATTTAAAAGAAGATTTTCATTTCTCTGCATATAGCACAATATCATACTTGAAACGTGGACCCAAAGCAGTATTAGCACTTGATGATAAACATGAAATACTCTTTAATTATGAATTACATTAATATATATAACTACATTATAGCCTGTGATATAATCTCTTTATTATTGAAGAAAATCATAATACTAGGTAAACAATTAGGTAAAAGGTTTTAAACCTTTAAATATTCTTAATCATTAACAGTATATTTTACAAAGTTTCTGAAACGAATCTCTTTGATGAATTTGAATATAACAGCAACTCCATTTAGCCTTATGATTTACTATGAATGGTTTCATTATAAATTATATTTGTAAAATTATTGTAAAATTTTGCTATTATGAGCAAAAAAGCTGTATAATTTATATAATTCTTTTTTAACTAATATGACAAATGTTTTTTGACTCTCATGGAAAAAAATATCTTCAAACTTGTATAAATTTTTAATGCATTTTATATTGTTTATAATTAATCTCAAAACGGTAATAGCTCATGAAAAAGTATTTTTTGCACGAAACTATTACAAAACACGAATTTTTTCATAAAATCGAGAAAAAATGATTCAAACTTAACACGCATTGAAAAATCAATAAAAACGGTATATACAACACTGGGCAACGGTATGTCGGCGGTTCGGATAGTAAACCAACCACCAGGTTCACGATCAGATGAAAATATTGATCCTGGATAAGGGGCATCTGTGTTCTGTCTGTTGGCAAACACGTTTTACTATCTTACTAAGCAGTGCATTGAAACGACATTAGATTTGTAATTGATTCATCGTCAAAACTTCAACAACACACACCATGTAATAGTGATCCAATTACGAGTGATCGTAACAAGTATTCTGTGTTTGTCAAAATATTCCAGTTTTTCATTCAAAGTTCGATCGCATCTACAACGAATGGTGACGTGCCGATGATACATCTTTCATTCATGAATCCATTCAAGTGAAAGTTAACTTTACAAACTTTTTCCATGAATTCTAAACACGATGGGTTCCTGACGATCTCTAATCATTGACAAAAATTTGATAACGTATTATCTTCGTAATATAGAGGGTAATTAAAAGCAGGTACAGACAGGGAAATACCGGTGAATAAGATGCATGCTTCTCCATATGTGTGCACGTCTTATCAGTTCTGTTACAGAACTTCTATATACATATCAAAGCTAATTGGTGTGATAACATGCATGCATGCTTAAGCAGGCAAATGTTAGCGGGAAACGTTACAGGAAGAGAAATCAGTTTATTCTAGCGTTTCGATGCAGGTCTATTCGCGCGCTTCTGCGCGACAAAGTTCGACCTCTGCAGTTCTGATGTTCTGTAGAAACATCGGGAGATTTCTTAAGGATCATCGAAGGAAAATAGTGAAACTGGAACTTTTAACTCTCGCACATATATGGTGTTCTCCGGTGTAAATGTAAAACTAGAGTCATAGAGATTCATTACTCCGTAGCTGCACATGTTTTATAATTGCTTTAACGATCGTCATTCGGATCTCGTTATAACCCCGCGATGATTTAAAATTGCATAACAAACCTTCATTGCACAAACTACGAAAATCTCAAACGACAATTTTATAAAATTAACTAGATGACTTGGATGCGCCGATCTGCCTCAGACGAAGATGCCTCTGCCAAATATCCTCAAAAAGGCAAGCAGTTACATTTTAGGCGATTGCAATCAAGACAGTCGTCGTACTATGTATCAGGATGGCGAGGCATTATTTTGCAAGAATAACGTTTGTGTTCATCCGCCGACCTTAATGAGGCAGAACTCTGATGTGGTACATCATCCTGGATACATGGCCATAACCTGTAGGTTTGATAAAAGCTCGAATGTACCAACATTACATCTTAGTTGGATTCCAAATAGTACGCTTCGTAAACATCCAACAACATTAGAAAATTTAAACGCGAGAAAACTTGATTGCACTACTCATCGTGACGTCGATATAAGTTATGATTTGAAATGTGAATACGAAAATGCTGGTAAAAAAGTTGATGTTTGCTTAGAAGTTAAAGAACCTATCAATTGTGGAGACTGTGAGCGTGTTTGTTCCGGTGGTTTTCCACGGAGTGCACGTTTTGAAAATGACACGGATACGAAAAATGATAATGGGGAAAGCTTATGCGACGATCAGACTGTGCTTACATCAGAAACTAAAGAAACTCCAAATGTCATTACCAATCGACAAGTGAACTATTATCAGTCTGACAGTTCATCGGTTACCATACACGAAGAAAGCGATCACAGTATCAGTTTGAATCGGTTACGCTCCGAATCCTTGGGCTCGAAATATGATGAAAGTCAACAGTGCAAAGATCAAAAAATTTCCGAAGCACAGGAAAGTGATGGAAAAAGTATCGATGAGGAACTTAAATATCCGTATTGTGATGATACCAGCCTTAAAAGTCGTAGTATGTCGTTAACCTCTACATGCAGTTTATCTGTCGGCGCATCTTCAGAGGGTACTTAATTACTTGCTTTTATGATCTCATATTAGTTTATAACAATTATTAATATGCAAAATTTACGTCTTCATAGCTGAAGAAATTCCATCATGGATGAGGTCACCTGAACTTCTAGCCTTACAGCATAACCTCACATTTCCTGAAAGTGCAACAGCTTCACCAGTAACACTACGTAGAGCACACAGATGTAGAAGATTTTCTGTGGATCTCAGTGAAATGAGATCTTTACGATTGTTTTTTGCTGATCCAGCCTGTACTTCTGGTCAATTAGTAGTTGCAAGTAGAGAAAGTCAATATAAGATCTTACATTTTCATCATGGTGGATTAGATCGATTGGCAGCAACTTTAAATCAATGGCACCAATTGCTTTATTCACGACTAGATACAGATGCTGAAGAAACACTTCCTTATAGGTAATATTATTAATATGAAAATTTATATTTGTTAAACACTTATCATTCTTTCTTTGATTTAGGCATTTCATGGTATGTCGACCAGAGGTAAGCCGTGATGAATTACACCCAGAAGAAGGGCAAGTACCAATGATTACATCATTAGCTTGGAAAGATTTATTAAATGAAAGAGGTCAGTTAGAAGATGACCTTGCTCTTCGTAAAGGAGTATTTTTTGGTGGATTAGAACCTGCATTAAGAAAAATTGTGTGGCCCTTTCTTCTTCATTGTTATTCATATCAAAGCACTTATGAAGATAGAGAACAAATTAGTGCTATTCGTAGACAGGAATATGAAGAAATACAAAAACGTAGACTGAGTATGAATCCTGAACAAGCAGAACATTTTTGGCGAAACGTGGTGTGTATTGTAGAGAAGGATGTTGTTCGTACTGATAGAGGAAATCCTTATTATGCAGGAGAGGATAATCCAAATATTGAAATAATGAAGTATGTTTACATAAGACTCATTACTAATTTTACTCATCAGTTTTTTTTTATAAATAATGTTATTATATTTTACTTTCTTTCAGAAATATTCTATTAAATTATGCGGTTTATAATTCTCGATTAGGATATACACAAGGCATGTCTGATTTATTGGCTCCTTTATTAGCTGAACTTAATTCTGAAATTGAAGCATTCTGGTGTTTTGCTGGTTTAATGCAAAGGTCTGTAGCAGTATGTACACCTACTGATGTAGATATGGACAGAAACTTGTGTTATTTAAGGGAATTAGTTAGAATAATGGTACCAGACTTTTATGCACATCTTCAAAAACATACAGATGCCTTGGAACTTCTATTTTGTCATAGATGGATACTTCTGTAAGTATAAACTTTATAGATATTTAACAAAATGTTATCGTTGTAAAATTATTTTTAATATTATGTACTTTATAGGTGTTTAAAGCGTGAATTTCCAACTGAAGTGGCATTAGTAATGTGGGAAGCTTGTTGGGTAAATTATTTAACAGATCATTTTCATTTGTTTCTTTGCCTTGCTATAATGTGTGTTTATGCAGACGATGTAGTAGCGCAAGATCTTCGAACAGATGAAATGCTATTACATTTTAGTTCTTTAGCTATGTATATGGATGGAAATCTCATATTGAGAAAGGCAAGAGGCCTACTTTATCATTTTCGTCAGCTTGTTCGTTTACCATGCACGTTAGCTGGACTTTGTCGTCACTGTGGTCCAGGAATGTGGGATAGTACTCATGACCCTGTTATAGAATGTGTGGGTCATGATGATGCTTCCTGTCCATATTTGAACCATTACGTATAACGATCTAATTTAATGAAAGTGAAAAAAGCAACCTATTGTTAGAGCTTTCAAATTATTCTTACGTTAATTGATCAAATTAAATGCTCTTTCATGTAAAATAAATAAGTTCTAAAAGCCACAGTTTATTAAATGTTGTAAGTCATAACAGATGTTAATGAAAGTAATGTTTGACTCGCATACTGTTTATACGAACAAATTCTTAATCAATAATTAATATCATTAACAAACAAATATACATTTATATTATCACGAATTTTACTTTCGGGATTTTATAATTTATGAACGCTGATATAAGAATATCTGACAAATTGAAGTTAATAATAAATAAGGACCTGAAAGACATATCCTAAAATTCAACATTCAATGAAGTTCACTATCATTTAAAGTAATTTCAAAAGGTTTTAACAATAATGAACCTACAACTCTTATAAAGCAAAAATATTCTATATTAAATAATTAGACAGAACTCCATCGATTATGACGAGTTCTGACTGAAAACCTGTAGTACAATTAAAGACTGATGACCAAAGAAGAATGGAGTAGTACAAGCATTCTAGCTTTAAAATCTCCAGGCAGAAAAAAGCTTTTTCACTGCATAAACATCATATTATTTATTTAACATAACTGAAAATGTGCCATTTTTCAGCTTGGTACAGATGTCATGAGTTGTGATCTGAAATTAAAATCTAATCTAATGTCAGCAAAAAGAATCAAATGTAACTTGATATAAGTAACACATAAATATTTATTACAAGTCTGTTCAAATTTCTTAGTCAATTAATGATACATTTGTGAACTTTGGGGTATTCACTTATGTAGTATTTTTAGTATTTTTTTCTACAAAGCAAGTTTCAATTTATTGTACACAAGGTATGATTTTTTATTAGAAAGTACCTTCCTTGTTTTTTACACATTAAATTTTGTAGTAAATTTCTGACATTAATTATATAACTTATGTAAATGTCTTTTGCTCAACATTTTTTTTCTTACTTTAATAGCCCAAAGTGTCTTTATGCTAGTCTGTTTGCTCAGAAAAATATAAAATGAAAGAAATAGTTCTTTCTATATTTCAAATCCTTTTATCTGTTTTTGTAAGATAGAAGCTACATTGTAATGAATGTATGCAGAGACGGTTATTCGTATGATATCTTACAACTTGAGAAAATGAACTTCAATGATTATTAATAATTATTAGTAACTGATAAAGTTGTAAAGATTTCATGCAAATAATACAATGCTTTTACTGTGCCACCTTGTGTTGTTAGGCTATTACAGAGAAATCTATTCGTGTTAAAATTTGTTCTGCTAAGTCTAACTAAATATAACATACAAATATGACTAAATAGAAATATGTATGTAAATATAAAAATAAATTGAAATAAGCTTATGTAATCATTTCTTTATTTTTCTCGTTTACTCTTAGAAAATATATGTATACATATTTTACGTATTATAAACTACACTTGTACAGGTACATGGTATGAGAGGTATACTGTAAATACTTTGTTGGCAGTTTTATACCACATATAAAAATATGTTCTGCGATATACAAATCAGATTTATACAATTAACAGTACTTAGTTCAGTTGCCTAATTTTTCCTGTGCATATACAAAATAAAGCATGCTAAAAAATTGTTAAACTGAGTCATTTTTTAATAAGAAATACTGAATAGGCCATCTATATTTTTAAATATTCAATCATTAATTACATGAGCATGTAGCTTTAAATATACCTTCATACCATTAAATAGTGGACAGAACATTATTAGTTAGCCACTAAATATCACTTATTTGAAAGACATTTCATGTACAGTAAAAACTGTAGCAACAATGACATATTCTCTACTGAATAAAAATATACAAAAGATAAAGGATATATCGTACAAAAGTTTAAAACTTAAATTAAGCTATTCATTTGGCTTATACAAGAGTAATCCTGACTTGTGCCAGTGTATTGTCTGTTCACTGTGACACATGTCACAATGTATTATTATCTTTATTAGTATTATTACCATTATTACTATTATATTCTCTTAATTGATGAAAAGGATGATTTTGTGATAATGGTGCCAAAAATATTAAAAATAAGATGAAGGTATCTTATTCACAATGACAATTATTCAGCTATGTTATCTTCTACAATATCTTCTATCATCTACTAATTTTTTAAGAGATCTTTTACTCATTAGTAATTTGTTACTAATGTCACTATTAATAATTTCACGTATATCAATTATGATTTTAATATTTAAGTTAAAATCAGTAATATCACAATTTTCATTGTATATGTTACTGTAAACAATCCAATTTCAGATCTAATGATATTATATTAGATATGCACTAGATTATAAACACAGAATAATTAATTATGCACCATTATGCAATCCTTTCTCTTTTTCACGTTTTTGATTTCATGTTCTATAATTTATTTATTATAAACGTATATCTGCAGAATTCAAATGAATTTGCATAAAATTGACTGATACTAAAATCATGCAAGCAATGGCCCAAACTATAACAAAAATGAGCCAACAATTACTAGAAAATGGACTTGCAAATTGATTGACAACACCAAGACCTATAACTTCGTTTGTTTTCTGTCTAGCATAATACACTAGAAACGTTGGAATCAAATACTGAATTCCTGCTCCAGCATATGATCCCGTAATTTCCACTAATTTCGATAAATCTTTGGTACTCATAGCAATCATATATGGAGGCAGTACCGCCAATACTGGTAAGCAAAGTTTACGAAGACACAAATAAGACGTGTCTTCACGGAAGAACAACAATTGTAGATTATTTCTAAGCGTGATAGCTATTATAGGAAAACTCGTACTCAAAGTAAATACTGGAAAAAGTGCCAAAAAGTATTCCATGAGAATAATAAATATATTGCTACTTTTGGAACAATCTCCAGATCCGCGTGGGCTAAAATCTAGAGTGTAAAGGTCATCTAAATGTTGAAATGCAAATGCTCCTGTTAGTGCCAATAAGAGGTAAAAAGATGCTATTAAGATATAATCCAATGCCAAGGATCGAGTCAAAGTAGACTTATTTGCAATTGGAGCAACCAATGCAGGTAAAGAATGATGACACATAAAAGAATAAATACAAGCTCCAAATAAAGTGGGAATACCTGAAATACATATTTGTGACGGTTTTATTTAATTAAATGCTAGAAAAACATAATACATATGTATTTTATTATTAATATAATACATATGTATTTTGTTTTTTAGTTATGTAGATAAATTTACCTATAATATTTGCTGCAGGTGGTTTTCCTTGTGCACCATGAATGAATAGATTTTTTAAAGCATACACAATCATAATAGTAAATGCAAGCCATCGCATTGCTGAAGTTAGAAGTTGAAGGTATTTAGTCTTTTGTATATTAAAAAATACAAAAGGTCCCAGTAAGAACACAAATGTTGTCTGAAAATAATACTTATCATTATTGCGTGAAAAATAATAATTATTGAAAGAGATATTAATATTTCTATGTTTAAACATACAAGAAATAGTCTGTATGCATCTAATCGATTTAGAGCAAATTTTTCCCAGCAAGTTTCAGTATCTGGTATTGTATCATTACATGTGTAATTGGCTGGTTGATAAGTACAGGCAACATCAGCTAATGTTTTTGCAACAGCTGCTCCATAAATGCTTAGATCTCCATAAAGATATATAGCAAAACATAAATAAAATAGAGTTGCACCAAACTTATTAAAAAAAAGTGATGCCATTTGTCCCATTTCTATTTTATCACGTATTACATAATATCGATATGTCACGTCTGTAAGATCAGGACTACTTGAAAACGGTGTAACAAGAGGGGTATCTTCAGAATCTGAATTTGAAGGACCAGGTTCACCAAATGTTTGAAGTACCTAAAATTAAAAAGTAATATAAAGTGAAACTTATGTTGAGTAAGAATAATTTCAAATAACCAACTGGAAAAAATAAATACCCCTACTCTAAAACAACAACACTATTGTTAAAAAGAATAAGAATAAAGAGCAATGTAGAAAAAATCTAAAAACCTCAGATTCTGATTCGTTGAAAGTTGAATCTTGAGATAAACATACACGTTTTCGATGCTGAATATACCGCCAAGCCATTATAGCATTGGCAGATGCCATTACCTCAATCACAAATGTTACTGTAATAAAACTGCAAACATGAGATAATATGTAATTAAACTCTGAAACTGATTTCTTAAAATGTATATTTCAATAATATACCTTATGAATGCTAAAATTAAAATAACGCTTAATCCAAGAGCCCATCCTGCTCGACTAAAAACGGCAGGTAATGTTAAAGCTCCAGTGCCAACAATTAAATTAAAAACGTATATAAGACCAACCTGAAAGATATATTAATGTATTAATCTTTATATGTGTAAATAAAATAATCATAAAGTAATAATAAATAATTTGGCTGATAGCCGAGTAAGGTTTTGTTTACGGTCGAAGGTTATGTGATACCATATGTCAAAATTACAAAAGGCACAAGATTATATACTTACCCATGTCGAATACTGGTCACTTGAATTTTGCCTGACCATCTCGATTCAAGTTACAAATTAAAATGAATTAGTCTGCTGGAGCCGATTTGTATTACTGTCATATATGTCATTGACCTAGCTATCGCTTTGTACTTTTCCAGTGATGATTCGAGAGCAACTGTGCAGAGATCATACAAAACTCCAGCACAAAGGTTCCTTGCTATTCCCTCCCCCAATCTAGGATACCTATCTTATCTATTTAGTCATTTAACCACACTTGTTGTAAATTTTAATCGTTTGCTTTTTTGAAGGCATTATAAAGTTAAATTTTTACTACGTAAAAAATGTATTGATCACAATTTAAATTTAAATTCGTGTTAAATGTATTCTTCCGCTTAGTAGTATGCGCTGTGGTCGATTTCGTATGTAGAACGTATTGTGCTGCCATCTAATTACAATTTAAACGTGACTACAAATAGAAATATTATTGTTCAACACTGTATCGTAACTGTATATGATTTTTCATTATTACATGTATTATATTTTTATATTTTTGTATGATTATGAAATTTTTATCTAAATGCAAAGTTTAATTTCTTTCTCCAGTTAATAAAGCTCGGTTGTTGCTCCTCAATTAATACAGCACTTTTATTGAAAATTGATATATAAACATTCAAAGCATTCAATATATGTTATTTTTTAAAATAACAGATAATCTAAACACTAAAAAATTAAGTTGCAAATAAAATCACCTCTCTTCTATGAGTTGAAATTGAGTTCAATATTTAATAAATTGGCATTATTAAATACATCAATATATTATACTAATTAATGTCTAACTATAAAATTTTAAATAGAATTCTGACTCTTAAATTACAGCATTCTTATAAAAAGGAGTAACATATACCATTTCATTGAAAATAATTTTTATTCGATTGAAAATATAAACCTAATTCTTAGAGTAATATAAATTTTTACCACAAATCTTACGTTACAGTAATGAATAACGCCAAACGGTACAAAAGCTACGTTGTGTATAAAACTACGTGAATTCATGCTAAATGAAACGAGAAGTGATGATGCTTATTTTTTTTCTTTTTTTTTTCTTTAGCACATATTAACTACGATGTACTGGATTGGAGATCAAGGACACAATATCCAGTAAAGGGTATTGGAAAACTGCAATCTTAAAAAACACAAAAGTCAAAGCAATAATGTTTTTAAGAGTTTTATTTTATAATCCCATAAGTCTAAAGTAGTCTTTAAGATGTGTACGTGAGTGGTCTTGCACAATACAATGGGAATAAATTATAATACTTTGGCTACGCTTGCGGGGTCGAAACCGTGTCTTTTTCATTCGTTTGAGCGAGCGTTTGTGGGATATTTTTCTGGGTCAGCGGTCTCCCCCATTATTTAAAAAAAAGAAAGGAAAAGCCATCTTTTCCCTCAACGATTGGTAACAGTAAAAAAAGAAATGATTAATAAGTCGAAGGCCTATCTCCGCTGGGAATGATGATTCTCGAAAGACTGACACAAATGTCTTTAAATATCGCGGAGCAAAGTAGCGGAATGCATTCAATCGGAGGATACAAAATTAAAGAATCCTTCGTGCATTAAGGAGGATACGCATTAAGCAACGGATCCATCCTGCATCGAATGATACACCGAAATAATTTATGCAATATTTACTTCAGTTCAAACCTCGCGAATATTAAAAATTGGCAAATATATAGCATATTCGAAAAAAAAGAACAAATTATTATTTCGATTATAGATATATATCGCGATGACAATAAGAAAGATGTTTTTCGTGAGGGTGGTTAGCTAGATGCTACCATAGGCAATGTTATTTGAATATATAATACAAAGGATTCGATAGGATAGGAGGGTATTTAGGAATTCGGGGGGTACGTTTAAGATACAATAGTGTCTAATTAAATGATGAAAAATGAATGGAGCAAAGATGTTTAGGATTGCCTCTGCGTTAATTATGTCCTACGTACATCCGAATCGAAAGAAGCTACCTTCGCCTCGGAGGAACCAAAGAACAATTATTATTGCGGAAGTTGATGTTACGTCCGCCTGCGAAACGGGGCAGAGGCTGCTCTCGGGATTCAGGGAATGATAGTATGCAAGAGGAATATCAAAGATGTGCTTAGAAGCACTTCCTGTGGACAATGGATGGTCCAGATTCGTCGTATTCTTGCTTAGAAATCCACATTTGCTGGAAGGTAGACAAAGATGCGAGAATTGATCCACCGATCCATACAGAGTATTTCCTCTCAGGTGGTGCGATGATCTTGATCTTCATGGTTGATGGTGCGAGGGCAGTGATTTCTTTCTGCATTCTGTCTGCGATTCCAGGATACATGGTGGTACCACCAGAAAGGACAGTGTTGGCGTACAAGTCCTTACGGATATCGACATCACACTTCATGATGGAATTGTATGTTGTCTCATGGATACCGCAGGCTTCCATACCCAAGAAGGATGGCTGGAAGAGAGCCTCAGGACAACGGAATCTCTCGTTACCAATGGTAATTACTTGACCGTCGGGAAGTTCATAGCTCTTCTCCAAGCTGGAGGATGATGCAGCAGTTGCCATTTCTTGTTCGAAGTCAAGGGCGACGTAGCAGAGCTTCTCCTTGATGTCACGAACAATTTCACGTTCGGCCGTGGTGGTGAAGGAATATCCTCTTTCCGTGAGGATCTTCATGAGGTAGTCGGTCAAATCACGGCCAGCCAAGTCCAAACGGAGAATAGCATGAGGCAAAGCGTATCCTTCATAGATTGGTACAGTGTGCGAAACACCGTCACCGGAGTCCAATACGATACCGGTAGTACGACCAGAAGCGTACAAAGAAAGTACAGCCTGAATGGCGACGTACATGGCGGGGGTGTTGAACGTTTCGAACATGATCTGTGTCATCTTTTCGCGGTTAGCTTTCGGGTTGAGGGGTGCCTCGGTAAGAAGAACTGGGTGTTCTTCGGGGGCCACTCGAAGTTCATTGTAGAACGTGTGATGCCAGATTTTCTCCATATCATCCCAGTTGGTGACAATACCGTGCTCAATTGGGTATTTCAAGGTAAGAATACCTCTCTTTGATTGGGCCTCGTCTCCGACATAGGAATCCTTCTGTCCCATACCGACCATGACACCCTGGTGGCGTGGTCTACCGACGATAGATGGGAAGACGGCGCGAGGAGCGTCGTCTCCGGCAAAACCGGCCTTGCACATACCGGAGCCATTGTCAACAACGAGTGCAGCAACTTCTTCGTCACACATGTTTGATTTATTGGTTTATCTGTAAAAATAACAATGATGTTAGTTATTTGACTATGATTTTTAACGTTATGCAATACTTAATATTAGCTTTTTTACTTCTTAATTATGAGGTATAAAGTCATAATTTATACAACTTTTTATGTAACATATCAAAGATAAAATTTATAATTTTTAATTCTGTATAAAGCTAAATTACAATTTTATTTTTTAAGAAAAATACTTATATTCTGCGTATAAAATATTAAATACAATAAGAAGTTTAATATTTAAATCATCTATTGTACTCATGTATCTATACATTAAAACATGTTCTCCTAGGATTAATATAATATAATTTCCGGCTAAAAGGTAAGAACTCCAAAACTAAATTACTACTCCATTTTGTTTTAAATATTCAACTAAATAAAAAAAATATACTATTAAATTATTTACAATAATCTCAACATATAACTGCTGCAACAAATTGAAAAATACTATATGCTGTAAAGCAATATTTTAAATATTTCCAAGATGGCGTCTGGGAACACGTAGCATTATACTATTGCAGTAGCAAATATTAAATATTTACAACGAATCATTCGGCGATCGTTAAAACAAATAAACTGTTACATATTTGTCCATACGAAAAGAAATATCTTTCAAAAATGATTTCGAAGGTTTCTAGGTATCCCTGTAATACGTCGTTAACAAAAACCGCACCCTGCCCCGCCCTTCCCCGGCATCAAACGGTCAATATCCGACATGTTTTCAAGGAACAAATTCTCTACGAACTTAGAAACGAGTAGAAACAAACACAGAATCAGCAAGCTTGAACTTGGCAAAAATCCAAATTCGTACTCTGATGAATTATTATCTTGCAAATAATATTTTGTGGGTACTTGGTACTACAGAAACCGGTACTTTCTCGCGAAAAGAACTCGTTCTCGTTCACAGATAAAACATCCATTGTAACCGACGCAAATTATCATATCAAATGTTACAACAAACGAACACTATCTTTTGCAATTGAAAAAATGCAACACAAAACACACTAAATATGGCACAAGCGTATCTCAAGCCTAACACCACCCACTTCTCGATTTGGAAATCCACGTTTGGATGTACAAGCGATTCGCCAATCAACTATCGCCCACGCACTATCTCTCTAATTGGTTGCACTGCGATTTAAAATTCGTTCGGAACCGGCTTGTAGAATGTCGCGAATATTATCCTATCACTGAACTTAAGATAGTGACTTACGTTTTTCGTTTCGTATAAAAAAAGTTATGTACAAGTTAGGGAGCTCGGATCTTTGGATGTGACACTGCCGCACAACCGACCGATCTAGCACCAAACACAGAGTGTAGCTGACAGCCGCCTTGCAGTGTATTATATGAACAGAGTCGTTGTTCGGAGCCCCCACTACCAAGCGATCGGCCAATAAGGGCAGGACATCCTCAGCCAATCCTGGCTTTCTTTACCATATATGGAAGTGCTCTACCACGGAGGGGTTTACCCCCTCTATCCCTCCTATGCCCTTCCCCGTCGATTCGAAGTGTGTCTCGCCACCCTTCGTGAATGCATCCGCCAAATTGACCGAATCGCACATCTCCAATCTTACCAATGCTTTTCCTCCCCGCTACGTAAGTTCTCTTTCCATCATATTCAATGTCAGTCGACTTTTTCTTCATCCAAATAGTAAATAATTGTTTCCAATATGCAAGCTTAGTTTTTCCTTTACCTTTTTCGCGAGCAGATGATTTTCCTTTATGGATTTTGTCAGTGCGATTTCGGTGCTTTTACTTGAGTACTGTTCGGCATAGCATTTTTGTGCACACTAACTTTTTAAACAGTTTACGTAAATTTTACGTACAAGAATTTCTACATATTTTAACATCAGTAATTATATATTGTTTCATACAAAGGATTACTTGAAAACATTAAGTATTTAACTAATTTATAATAAGACTAAATATTTGACTAGCTTCGTCAGATTTTGCAAAACGCAGTTTATATAAATCATTTTTAAACCGTTTTTATTTGATTAATTAAATATGCAGAAATGAAATGCAAATTTAAATACCATCTCTATTGTGCAGAATTTTTTACGTGATTTTTAAGATAAAAATATTATAGTTCTTTTGAAGCAGTTATAATTGCAAGTAGGCGATTCTAGTGCGTTATACAGGAAATACATACGTCGTAGCAATTTCTACGCTTGTTAGCGTTCTAATTTCTCAACCGGTGACAGATTTACGCTGGTATTTCGTGGTACGAGCAAGCATAATCGTAGGTTAGTGCTGTAACATCGCAACTACAGAGTACTGCTATTAATAAACGACCGCGTCGCGACCACCTGCCTTGCAGTGCGTATACGTCAGGAACCACTTGACTACGACAACCTGTCGGATCGTTCCGGTATCTTAGTCCCTTTTCGAGAGAATACTCTTGCAGAAATAAATTTTTCAAATGAATGGGTACTACATCGACAAAAGTCAGAAACAGAGAGAGCAACGCCCTACCATCATGGCTGCTCGTGAACCGGCGTTTGTCCTCGATCTTTTTGCCATTAAAATTATGACAGATCATGGTGGAACGCGATAAATTAATATCAGATTTGAAAGTAATACGTTAAACCGTGCATGTACTCACCTTTTGAAACAGAAGGTAACCAACGAAGTAGTTGATTGTTGATCGGCAAAGAGACACCGCAAGAATACTATCGGCACGACGAAGCGAGACTCAAGAGCCGCGTGTTGCAAGCACTGTGAGCGGGATCGTGGCCGGTACCGTATCATGTGGACTCGCCCAGAGGTGTGGTCGGCATACATGCTGTAAATGCTCTAAATTACCTGACATATTACCTATTTTTTCGCTATGTTTTTCAAACATATGCGTAACATATGATTCATCGAACGATGAAAATTCAAGAAATGAAAAGTTCGACAATCATTTGTTTATTTTAAATTCATATTTTCCAATATCGTCATGCAGGTACACCCCTATTTCAGAATGGATTCGTCCAGCCGGCTTCCCCCACTACTTGGATTCACAGCTCTTGCCATATATGGGCATAAAACGAAAGCGGCTCGCTGATTGGTCCGTTGGCCGGCTGCCGGCTAGATTCTCCAAATGCCGCTTCAAACTGTACGATACGGGGAGCATAATGCCTTCTGGAAGCGTACACTAGCGTAAGGGCTTTCCTGACTAACCGTCAGAGCTGTTTGTAGTAGTATGCGTATCAATGTATGCGAAGATTACCACGCTTTGTGTGTGCGTGCTTGCGAACCAGTACCGGCAGTAGGTATGAGTCAGAAAAAGTTTTTGTTATATACTTTGGAATGGTCAACATTTTCTTTTACTTAATGGAAATCGAAACACTTGTCATTAAGATGTAATAATTCTGTTTATTTGGAATTTTTGATGGTCATTCTTTATTTAAAGTAATATAAAATTAAATTGCATTGAAAATATATTGTTAAACATTATTGTATTTGTTTCTTTGTATTATGTATAAATAAAAAGAATTAGTATTTTGTTTACGATATAATGCGGTACAGCCTTTATTATATAGTTCTTTATAATTTAAGAAAATTGTTAAATAAAAATTTTCTATTAGTGGTTGATAATAAAATTACTATATAATAAAAGCAGTACATTTATTTTACATTTCGTGTAATATGTACTACTCGAATGGTTCTAAGGATTCTGTTGGCCCTTCCTCCAGGTATATTCCCCAACCAGGTAGAATGATATATAATTTGGAGAAAGTAAACTCACGAGCAAATAAACGATTGGTAAATTTTATTTTTTACCGTAAAATCTGATTACAATATACAATGTATAGTCGGACAGAAATTTGTTGTACAGTCAATCCATCGAATATATTTTTCCTCGTAAAAAGTCATTCATGATGTATTCTTATGAAATGGAGTTCTACGTCACTTTCAACGCTAACGAATACCAGTGAATCATATCAATAATCTGCATTCCTACTTCAATGCTATCTACTCTAGTACTCTTAAAATTGTGGCTGAAGAAAAGTAATTCGCAAGAGCAGAATTAGAAAGTCAGTGGGTCAGATCCGACTATTTATGCATATTCATCCTCTAGGTTCCGTTTTAGAGTAGGACAGATGATGTCTACCTAGAAACCCATGTGTTTTCGAAAAAAATCATAGAATAGGCTTATACTAGATAATCAAACGAAGTTAACGTTTGTCCTCCCACTTATTGCATGTGGTACATGTCATCTCGGCCGCCTTTTTCATGAAACAGAAGCTAAAAATAGACTCAAGGGCGCGGATAAGGGTGCACTGGACTACTACCACGTCACCCAGGCCCTACGCTCCGACCCTATCCTCTGTGTACGTGTTCGTCCAACGGAAGGCATCGTGGTGTGTGTGAGTGCAGTGTCTGCTTCAAAATCGATACGCGTGCTCGTGCAGTCTGCAATTGTAGATCATGCTTGTAGGCGGAAACCACGTGGTGACGAAAACGTCAAAGTACGGCCGGTTGAATGGCATGTTGCTTTTTCGTAAAACATTTTGCGTCGATACGTTTATCAATCAAAATCGTGATGTCGTTTTCATGATTAAAATACGTTATTGTTAATTGAAAAAAGATGGTACAAAGAAATGTGTTTATAGCAATGTTAATAAAAAATTTAAAACAAAATAATTTTTTGCCCAATATAATATACCCACAATCTTTTGAAACTTTCTGAAAATTGATCGATTTATATATTTATAATAATTGTGCACCGAATGTTTTATGCAAGTTACGTATATAATATGTGATATTAATTGTTCATCATCGTTTAAGAAATTAAATATTAATATTGCCAATGGTGCAATCGAAAAAACAGGACAGTTTTATAAATAAACCTGTCACGCTGCTTTGACGAAATAGTACTTCAATGACATAATCAATGAATCATTTGCACCTAATAAGAAGTCGTATCAGGCTCTGCACTCGTTTCTCTATGAGGACCTGCCAAATTCTATTCTTGATTTCATTTTTACATATGTGCTTATTGAATACAATGATATTTATATCATCGTTTATATCCTACCAAAAACAAATACTACACTTGATATGTGTGAGAAATTTAAATGCATATAAATGTATCGCATGAGCGGATAAGCTGTTACGTCCAAGCCTAACCTCAAAACGCTGAAGTTGATGTCCTGCTGTCACATGGATACAGCATTTTCATTACACGAACGCCAGTTTCTCGTACATTTATTGCTTTCTTAATTTTTTAATTTTTGTTAAACAAAATATAGGTTATTTCGTTGAAATGTATTATTGGCGAGAAAAAATCCAACTGTATCTACTAATTGCTTGCATTGATCAATATATTTAATCGCGACATGTGAAATTCAAAAAATAGTAAATATTTTTTAGACAATTGATCACATCGAGAAGAAAGTCCAGCCGAAATAGGCACTCCAGTGGAGATAATCCGAAGTAAGTCTGTTACGTAAAATATTCACTTCTGGCACATTGTGACATCAAGTGAAAAATAGAATATAACAATTGAAGTATATTTTCAACTTATAAGAAAGCAACTACAACGATTTCTGCCATTATCCCGTAATATCACCACGTGCTAACCTAACCTTCGTTATCCGAACCGGTGCCACACGACGTGTCTCTATTTACTTTCGATCATCGAGAGCTTCATTATCGCGGCAAGTCTACAATAGGAAGAATTAAATCCAAGTAAGGTGGAGGCGCATTGTGGGCGGCCTGAAAACCCAATGGTTCGCAAAGCCTCGACCTTGCTTACCAAATAAGGTCCCGTTCAAGGTCTTCGAGGCCTTGCGTAAGGCTCCGGCTGTGCCATCGGCATAACGATTAACCGATTATGTCTACGCTTTAGTCATCGGTTATTTTCAGTGAAAGTGTCGATACAGTTTTCCATAGAAAGGCATCGAGTTTATTTCCCTGTGTATTACCTTATCTCCACGGGATCACCGATTTCTTTCGTGTCCTATGGGAAGTCTGGATTGGGCGTGTCTGCCCTACGCGGACACGTGCCGTAGGTAACGTCTGGCTCCAGTCGCGCAGTGCCACCGAAATCAATACGGAATGCGACGGTAAGTTCAACGCACCCACCCAGAAGAGTGCTTAAGGTTCTTTCTCATCGGACTAGCCGCGTGCATTCGGTCCAGACAGTGAAGCTATCGGGAATCACCGTAACGAGGTCAAAAACCTTGTACGGCATACCTTTTATGGATTGAAAATTCGCAAGGAACTCGAAGTACGAACTCTGAGTTGGAGAAACACTTTGAAAGTTGGTGTCAACGAAGAAGAAGAAGAACAAGAACAAGAAGAAGAGGAAGTAGGAAAAATAAGAATTTTGTAGTACATTCTTATGGTTGTAAGGTAGAATAGAAATTATACAGCGAAGGCTTGTATAATTTGTAATATAAATAATACTTCTTTTTATTTTCTATCGTAGCCTTTTATTAGGATTTTCAGCTATAGTAATATGGTAGATAATAATTTTCCACGGTTAATGATTATTAAGGATTTACTGCTTTAGAAAGGAGATTCTTTCTACGAAATTGCTCGCAAGATAATCGAATATTACAAAGTTTGTACAAGTTACCTAAATTTGGATAATTTCCGAGGGACGACGATACACGCAAGAGATTGTTCAAGTAGTACTCTAATTCCCTTTGAATCGCATATAACACATACTTCACAGATGCTTCTTTACTTTCTCTTCGTAGGTACAAAAGAGATCCCTCTTAGGTACTTCTGTTCTCCTCAAGGTACAGCCAAGTGGCTGTTCATGCGTAGTACTTGAATTGTCCTTAAGTGGAAGGTAAAAGATTCTCGGTGAACAGTTTCATCTGGTATCGTGGTTCTCCGATTCCTTTTCAAGTAAAACATAAAGCTACGCTAAGACGTTTAAAATCTAATCATCTTAATCTTCTATGGCTACACGTAAAAGTATTTCCAAAGGAAGCATAACCTTATTTGGTCAATAACAATTTAAAACGATTAATTTTCATTCCTTCAGATAATACGTTCGCGGTGACGATAATTTACAATTATTTTCCAGTGAGAGGTAGCTGTGTTCACGGTTAATTTCTAGCCGCAGTAACAGTTCTCGCTGACGATTACCAAGCATGCGAGGAATCCGGCCGGAGACACGCGATAATACGCGATTACTATATTTAGTGTTGACTTATGGTTCGTCAGATTGAGAAACAGTGACGTCGTTTTGAGCAGCTGATGATAAAGAATACGATAATAGTTGGTGTGCAGAATCTGTAGGACTTGTTATTGAGGCGCGGGCCGCGACTATGTAGTACTTCAACCAGGAATTCGTCGATGATTCAAGGCACTGACTTGCTCTTGGAAAGGTTCCAGCTGTTAGTCAGAATACGCTGTTATTCATTCATTACTTATTCACATAAGGCATGCATCATTTTAGACATTAAAAACTTACGACACGTGTCAGAAATCGTGCTGACTGCACGCGTAAATTTATCTTTCGCGGAGACCGTAATTCGAACTTACTTTCCTTTCTTCTTTCGAGACAAACATGGTGGAATAGCATATTTTTTTAGTCAGAAAAAGGTGAGAGATTGGACGTGACGTCAATGCGAACGCAAATTGAGCGAATCAGGTGATACATTCGATGGCGAAAATTTTCCCTTGGAAAATAGGAAGTGGAACGAACGAATTTTGTGAATTTGCTGTAATCTTCTTCTACGAAAATTGCGATGT